ACCTATTCAATCACTTGTCCTCTAATATTCCACTTAACAGGTTTCCAGTTTTTTCCAAAAGCAATGATTTTGGACTTATCAAAGTTTAGGGTCAGTTTATTAAGCAAGATAACATCCTTTTCACCCCTATTTCCGAGAGGGAAAGAAGCACCGCATCATCTGCGTACAGGAGTAATGGGACATGGGTTGCTCCCAATTTTGGATTATTTCCATCAGTTCCTTCTAAGAAGGGAGCCAGGTAATTTAAAAATAGGTTAAACAGAAGGGGCGCCAAAATGCACCCTTGTTTAACTCCAACAGTAATTGGGATCTTAGGAGTTAAATCACCCATCTTTGAACATCTAACCTGGCAGGTAGTCTCAGAATGGAGCTTTGAGATCTAAAAAAGCTGCATATAAAGTAAGCCCCTTCACTTTCCTATATTTATTTGTCAGATGGTTCAACACAATACAGTGGTCTAAAGTTGACTTCCCCTGGCAAAATCCAACTTGTTCCATGCCTAAAATTTGCTGGTTTGAAATCCATAGCTTAAGTTTATTGGCCAGGTATCTTGCATACAGCTTCCCAATGGTGGATAACAGGCTGATTGGCCTGTAGTTACTAGGGAGCTGGGGATCTCCTTTTTTAAATATAGGGACCAAATCCGTTGAAAGAGCTTGCTACAGCACTGATCGATCCAATGCAGGATCGATCCCATTGGTGTGAAGCACAGAGACCATGAAGAAGATCAGTCAGTTTGGCCCTGTGGGAAACATTTTCTACAAATTTTTAAGGTGGGAGGGGAGAACACAAATGTTACTACAATCTGTAACAGGACCTTTCATTCTGGCATGGGGGGGGTGGGTCTAAGTCCTTTGCGATTCTAGAAAGTCTTTCTGTATCTAGGAGCTGTTGTTAACCTAGAAAGCTTTTAGGAGCTTTTGCAAGTGAATGACACAGTGGCAAATCCTAGAATGCTTGCCCACTCCAAACTTGCCCAAATCCTAGTGCTTGCCCACTCCAGAACCGCTGAGTTCGGGAGGGGTGTTGAAAGACCTGAGTCAGATTGAGGTGACAAGAGAGGAGGTCCTAAAACTGATAGACAACTCAAAAACTGATAAATCACCAGGCCCAGATGGCATACATCCGAGAGTTCTGAAAGAACTCAATTGTGAACTTGTCGATCTCCTGACAAAAATATGTAATCTTTCCTTAAAATCAGCCTCCATTCCTGAGGACTGGAAGGTAGCAAATGTCACTCCCATCTTTAAAGAGGGTTCCAGAGGAGATCCAGGAAATTACAGGCCAGTCAGTCTGACGTTGATACCGGGTAAAGTGGTGGAAACCATTATTAAGGAAAGAATTAGTAGGCACATAGATGAACAAAACCTATTGAGGCAGACTCAGCATGGGTTCTGTAAGGGAAGATCTTGTCTCACAAAACTGTTAATGTTCTTTGAGGGGGTGAACAAACATGTGGACAAGGGGGATCCAATAGATATTGTTTACCTTGACTTCCAGAAAGCTTTTGATAAAGTTCCTCATCAAAGGCTCCTAAGTAAGCTCAAAAATCATGGGATAAAAGGGCAAGTCCTTTTATGGATCAAAAATTG